GCTTGATGTTAAATTTTAAGACGAATGATGGTCTAAGACTGGGTGAAATTTTGGCTGCAAGGCATTTGGAGCCTATATTTGGTGTTATCTGAATCCATCAATGAAATTGCAGCCATGCAATCATTCCCTGGTGTCTATTGCTCTCTATGTAAACCAGATGATCTCTTTTGGTTGGATTATTTCACTTGCAATCACTCCCAGGTATTCGTTATATTACTTACAATTATAGAAACAACAGTCCTTATGTTCACAGCACCGGAGGAGGCTGCTCACCCCATCATGTGGATGTCACTGCTACTGTTCCTTTCAATAGCCTTTTTTCTAATATTAATCAGAATCTCCATCTCTCTCAGCACGTCCCTTAATGTTATTTTTTAACTGTTCAGGGTCTTAGGCAAAATCGCTGACAAAATATATAGCCATTTTACCATTATTTATCCTCTGGGTAAAGATATTATAACAATGTAATCCTTGCATTTGATACAGCGCCTTATCATGTCGTTGATACGTTTCAAAGCGCTTCACAGGTTATACTGTGAAGTGGATTGACTGTGTATTTTGAGGGCAAAACACAGCAGCCAATCGCACGCGGCAGGGTCCCACAAACAGTCGTGGATTGAATAACGACATTTTTCTTTCTTGGAGGGATTATTACCTCTGGAAAGCAATCCGCCAATCAACTAACAACCGGGCTCCTACTTACTGCTAGGTAAACAGAGGCTTACGGACTAAGGAAAGGAAAGTTGCCCAAGGTTGCCTGGCCGTGCGAATCGAACCAGGGTCCACTCACTTGCGAGGCGAGCGCTCTAGCCACTACCCTACAGGACGGCAAGACTTCTAGCTCTCTAGAGTCGCAGCTATTTCTTGCTCTTGGCTTTTGATTGCTCCAGCACTCATTTCTTCCCCCCCCCCCCACCCCTTCTTTGTGAGTCAGAATGGCACTGCGCGTCCTCAATCATCTTAATTTTCTTCCAATTCGTGCCCTTTGAAGTTTACAGTTTCACAGCTGTCTTCTTCCTTCTCACCGTTTGGCTCCCGTCCAAAAAAAAAGACTCTTGAATAATCCTTCAGTGAACTGGCAGGAGGCCATTTTTTTTTCTGGTAAGCGATGAAAACAAGAGGTGGGTGGAAATGAGACCATTTCCATAGTAACAAGCAAAACTAAATACCATTCAGTGAAGACAACATGTCTGATTGCCACAAATGTGTCTCACAGCTATGGATGCAAACCTCCAGCCTCTCTCCCCACATCCCCTCTCCACCAAATTCATCACACACACAAATCGATTGGCGGATCACTTTTTCCAGTGGAATAATCGCTTAAAAAAAATATTAATTTGGTCACTCAATCCACGCAATTGGTTGCCATGTTTCGCCCACAAAATATTCGGTCAATTCACTTTACAGTATATACTGTGAAGCGCTTTGGACGTCTTGAAGACTTGATAAGGCGCTATATCAAAGGCAAGGATTATTATGATATTATGATTGTTATTATCACACACACAAATAACCCAATGGGAACCACCAGAACACAAAACAATGATAACAATTTAGGTTTACACAGTGCCTCAAACAAGATAGTGTCTCGGAGAGTTGGGCATTGGCGGAATTGGACGCCAAGCAAGGGAGAAGGAGGAGGATAGGGAGATGGACATGGTCAAAGAGGTAGGTCTTAAAGTGGGATTTAAAGATAAATGTAACGCATTGGTTAGAGCATGTATCTCGCAAGCGAGAGGACCCGGGTTCGATTCCCGGGCAATGCAAAATTTTATGTTTCCTTACTCCACGTGCCTCTATTTACCTGGCAGTAAGTTAGTCGATTGGTGCATCACTTTTCGGGGTTAATAATTTGTTCAAAAAATAATAAAATGTAGTCACTCAATCCACGACTGTTTGTGGGACGCTGCTGTGCGCAATTGGCTGCGCATTTCGCCCACAAACTATACAGTCAATTCCCTTCACAGCATATTCTCTGAAATCCTCTGATATGTCTCGCACAGAACCCCTGATTATCCAATGCGCTGGGACATCTTTCCGACGTGAGGGTGCTATATAAGTGCAATTTGTTGTTGTCTCAATGATGTGATAAGGGGCTATGTCAAATGCAAGGATTAATTATTATTATTATTATTAATAATCCATTCAGGCCATTGTGTCTGCACTGGTTCTTTTAAATTATTTTTCATTAATATTAAATAAACAAAGAGGGAGTGAGGCGTAAGGCTATAGATGCAGGCAGCTCCTGAGATTAGGAGCGGTAGTGGTTGAAGGCATGGCCACCGATGGTTACACAGAATGGGTCAGGTCACGCACAACAAGTGTTACAGTACAATATAATTTTACATTTCTATAGGGTCCTTCATGTCGGGAGGACATGCCACGGCGCTGGACAGTCCAGGGTTTACACCCGAGCTGGGAGTGGTGGCTGGAGGTGGGAGGAACATCGAGATGTGGCAATGCGAGGTGGAATCACTGTGTATTGGTTGGCAGTCAGTTTGTACACAGAAATGTCGGCATAAGCAACCGTGAAGTGAACGATCGATACTACCCAGGACACCGGGGAGAGCGAAACTCCCTTCTCCTTTATCATGGGGTCTTTAACGTCCACCTGAACTGAGCATAGAAGGGACCTTTGGTTTAACGTCTCATTCGAAGGACCGGCACCTTTGACAATGCAGCACTGAAACCAGCCCCCCCTCCCCCACCCCCCACCAGCACTGAAACATCAGCCCGCACACGGCAAGCCTCAATCCCAATTTGAGGGGTGGGGGGTGGGTGTCGGTGGTATCGAACCCACAATTTTTTGACTCGGAGAGGCGAGGGAGCAACCGACTGAGCCATGTTGGAATAACAGTGTAATAAGATTATTATAGCCTGCAATTACTTCGACATCCTCTGAGGCAAACAGAGAATTACATTTTCCCAATGATATTTTTCTTACTCTCCCCCCCTCCCTCCCCTCCCAGTCCCCCCCCCCTCCCATCGCCCGCCCCCGTATTATTAATTCATTCACGTCCAAATCCGTCAGCTACCGCTTGGACTTACAATTGTTATGATCGTGCGAATGCCTGAATAATTTCGGAGCAATTATTTTCAAACATCAGCTAATACCACTTTGGGCATCAATTAAAACTCCCCTCAACAAGGACCCCACGTTTTGCTGCGAGATCAAATAAACCGGTGCGAGGATATATCAATCACGTTCGGCTAATTAGAGAGCCACTTTAAAATCATTTGTTTTACTTCATTATCCTGCCACGTGGGTCTTAATGAAACTAATTGAACAATTTCAAGATCTTTGTTAAACTAATTGTGGGCTTTAAGGCCAGATATTCTAATCAAAGTGGGCAAGGTGTCAGCCCTGCCTTGGTCGAAAGTGTTCTCGCCTCTGGGAGAGAAAGGTTGTCTCTCTTCCTCCCCCCCCCGCCTTCCCCGCCCTCCCCATCCTCCCCCCCAATGTTGGGGACTTTGAACACGCAGTCCAGGCTGATGCTCCAGCGTAGGGCTGGGTATGCGCGCTGCATTGATGGAGGTGCCGTGCTTCGGATGAGACGTTAAACTGAGGTCCTTTCTGCCTGCTCAGTGTCTGTTAAAGATCCTGCAAGCTATTTGAGAAAGAGAATACACTACACACACACAGAGATATACACACCATCTACAAACACAGATACACACGCACCACACACACACACACACAGATACACACACACACTCAGAGATACACACACAGATTCACACATCACACACAGATACACACACCACACATGCAGACGCACACACACCACACACGCAGATACACACAGATGCACACACAGATATACACACACAGAGACACACACACCACACAAACAGACTCACACACACCACACATGCAGATTCACACGCACACACCATACACACAGATACACACACAACAACTTGTATTTTACAGCGCCCCTCACGCAGGGTAGAGTCCCAGAGCGTTTGATAGTGACAGAGCCGGGGGGAGAGGGGAGGTGACTGTAGGCACGATCGAAGAGGAAGGGCTTCAGGCGCGACCTGAAAACGGTCACACATACATCCACACACACATAGACACACATATTGATACAAACACTCACAACACACACACATACATACATGTAGACACACACACTCACACAGACAGACACACAAATACAAACACACACACACACACACTCAAAAGTATTACTATTATTAAAAGTGATTCAATCTTCTGTAGGACATTCACTGCTTAAAATAAAGTTAGCTGTTCAACGCCTGACTCTTGTCAGCGTCTCACAGTGAAGCTGAGGTAAGCAGCAATTCATTGTACAAGCTATCAGCAACACACATAATACAGGATCATGTTATTAATTTGCAATGTAATTATGAGTCAAACTATTCAATTAAGTTGTCTCACACAGCGAAAACTAATCAGCAAGCTAATACCATTTCATTATTGGGAGCCTCTGCCATGGCGAATTATACTGGAAGAGATAAGTTCATACAAAGGTTGGAATTGTTAGTAAACTGATTCATTATTTTTGATCGGATACAAGAGCTAATGAAGGAGAGGGGATTATATTGCCATTGTCAGTTTACTTAACATCATGTGAAATTACCGTTGACTGGAATTTCTACCTGAGAATCTCCCCGCATCGTTCCCCCACCGTACTCCACCTCGCTGAGCTGCTGGTTGGTAACAGCCTTACACATTGCAACGCAGAACCACAGAAACATAACAATAATAATCCTTGCATTTGATATAGCATCTTATCATGTTATTGAGACGTCTCAAAGCGCTTCACAGGATACCGTAGGAAGTGAATTGACTGTATATTTCGTGGGTGAAACCCAACAGCCAATTAATTGTGCACAGCAGTGTCCCACAAACAGTCGTGGATTGAGTGACCCAATTTTTTTTTGAAGGGATTGTTACATCCCAGAAAACAATCCGCCAATCGATTAACAACTGGGTTCAGAGACGTGCAGAGTAAGGAAACTTGCCTAAGATTTTGCCCCTCCCAGGAATCGAACCCGGGTCCTTTCGCTTACGAGGCGAGCGCTCTAACCACTACGCTACAGGGCATAGAAAGTTATAGCACAGAGGAAAGCCATTCAGCCCATCATGTCTGTGCTGGCTTTTTTAAAGAGGAATCTTGTCAGTCCCCTCTCAAGGATGGCAGAGAGGGAGTTGTGGAGGAGATTGACCGAGGAGGATAGGTCGTTATGGTAGGAGTTCAGGGGGCACTACCCAGATGAAGGACTCTATGGTTGCAGACGCCCCAACTAGCGGAAACATCATTTGTGTTAACCTGATCAAACCCATTTATAATATTTAAAACTTCTATTAGGTCTTCTTTAAACATCTCTTCTCAAGCGAAAACAGGCATAACCTATTCCATCTATCCTGATATTTGTTGTTGTGTTTATTACAGATGATTTTTTTCAGTCCAAACTGGGCCAAGCAGGGCGTAACCTTAGGTGAGTTTCCTTACCTTTCTTCACTCAGAGGGTAGTGAATTTATGGAGGTCACTACCCAAAAGGCTGTAGATGCTCAGTGCTTGAACATCTTCAAGGCTGAGACTGATAGATTTTTTTTAAAAATAGAGGGATTAGGGGATCTGGGGATAGGACAGGTAATTGGAGTTAGATCTGAAGATCAGCCATGATCTTATCGAATGGCGGCGCAGGCTCGAGGGGCCGAATGGCCTACTCCTGCTCCTAATTCTTATGTTCTTATGTTCTTACTCCACATGCCTCTGTTCACCTAGCAGTAAGTAGCAACCTAGATGTTAGTCGATTGGGCTATCACTTTCCAGGGGTAATAACCCCTCAAAAATAAAATGATAATAATAATAATTTGGTCACTCGATCCACTGTTTGTGGGAGACTGCTGTACATAATTTGCTGCCACATTTTGCCCTAAAATATACAGTCAATGCACTTTACAGTGTATCCTATGAAGCGCTTTGAAACGTCTCAAGGATGTGACAAGGGACTATATCAAATGCAAGGATTATTATTATTTATTGATAAACCTTTCTTATAACGAATCATCTTCACCAGTTGTTTGTGGGCGGGTGGGGGGAGCGGTGGGGGTGGTGGGAGAAGGTTAGAGGAGGGGTGTGAGCAGTCAGTGTGGTGGGGGGGGTTGGGGGTGGGAGTGGGAGAGAGGTAAATGGTTGTTAAGATACTAATACTCGTGTGTCAATTCCAAAAGTGTCTGCGAGCAAATCGTTCTGTCAGATTTTTTTTCCGAGTCTCTCCTTGGTACGAGAGGAATGTCAGACTCACAGGTCACTGCATTGTTTTAATGAATTTGTACCTTTTCTCCTTCAGTGCACAGCGACTGTGTTTGATAGGCAGTGTGAGAGGTTCACTCAGCCTCCGGAGGATGCTTTTTTGAAGGAAGCCATGAGGAGATCTGTTCCAGCGATGTGCCACAAGCTCTCAGTGTTTACATCAACACCCACTTGTCAAATTGATTACCCAGCGCATTGCCCAAAGAGTGATTCACTAATTCAGGATTCTGGCCCTAACCAGCTGACAGCTTCACTTTTCTCACCTCAAACTTTTAACCTCTTAATTGTAAGCGCTCGCCTTGCTCCGTGCCCAGTAATGGACTCTCTTGGATATGTTAATTATATCTATAATATTCATTGCATTTGATATTGCGCCTGATCGTGTGGTTGAGACGTCTCAAAGCGCTTCCCAGGATATATTGTAAAGCGGATTGTGTTCTGTATTTTGCGGGCGAAACGCGGCAGCCAATTGCGCACGGCAGTGTCCCTAAAACAGTCGTGGGTGGAGTGACTCAATCGTACTCCACTGCTGTCAAGGGCTCTGGGTCGCTATCTGGCATGAGGGAGAGCGATAGACATGCAAGTTGTTGTTGTTTGACGGCGAGCCAGGGAGAAAAGGGATGTGACAATAAACACGGTCGAAGAGGAAAGTCTTCAGATGAGGTCGGCATGCATTTTAAGGGAATTTTCAGCTGGATAGCAAATATAGGCAGAGGGGGAAGGTAAATAGCTGTTAAAATGCTGCTCCTGTGTTGTTTCCAAAAGGAGAGAGACCCAACCACACAGCCAAACACACAAAGAATAGATCGACAGACTTGTGCAGCAGATGTTAGCTTGGCTAGGTTCGTTGCACACTTAACTCTGGGTCAAAAGGTTATGAGTTCGAGACCCATATCAGGGTTTCAGACTGGCTCAGTCAGTCGCACTCTCACCTCCGAACCAGAAGGTGATAGGTTCGAGCCCCACATCGGGAGTTTGAGCTCATAGTTCACCCACCTAACCCACCCTCCCCGCCCTCCACCACTCTAAGTCCCAACCCCCAGCTTGGGTCTAAATCCTTGACTTTCAAGCACCTTGGAATGTCCTCCCGATGCAAAACGGGCTGTACAAATGTAAGATTTTTTTAAAAAGAGAGGGATTAGGGGATTAGGGGATATGGGGATAGGGCAGGTAATTAGAGTTAGGTCTGGAGACCAGCCATGATCTTATCGAATGGTGGGGCAGGTTCGAGGGGCTGAATGGCCTACTTCTGTTCCTAATTCTTATGTTCTTAAGTTGTTGTTGTTGTTTCGGCTGGGGTGTTGAGGGGGAGCTGTATTGTCAGAGATGCCGTCCTTTGAATGAGGCGTTAAAACCGAGGACTTTTGTGACAGATCATTGTCATAGGGAGCCGTTACGGCTTTGCTTACGGATGCTGAGACAATCCGATCTAGTGATGGAGGAACGCTGCATTGGCAGAGATGCCGTCAACAACAACTTGCATTTATATCATCTCAATATCATCATCATCATTGTAGGAGACATTTACTAGGATGGGAGAAGGTCAGCTAGAATGACCACCGTCTTTTTTTGTCTAGCAATTCCCATGTTCTTGTATAGCACCCTTCATGAGGGGTAGCATCTAAGAATACTGTACTTCAGGAGAGACATTAAGCTGAGGTCTCATTTGCCCATTCAGCTGGATATTAGATTAACGTCCCATTGATCAAAACTTTGGAGCTCGCTCCTTCTACAGAGAAGTGAGGCCAACAACAACAACTTGGATTTATATAGTACCCTTCACGCCGGACGGCGTCTCAGAGCGCTTCACAGTAACGGATCCCGGGGCTGAGCCAGGGGGAGGGGGAGGAAGGTGACCAAGGTCGCAGTGGAAAAGAAAGGTCTTCAGCCGAGACCTGAAAGTGGGAAGAGAAGGGGCGAGGCGAAGGGAGTAAGGAAGGGATAATGGTTCAAGGAGACTTTGCTGGGAGTCTTGTTCCAATTGTTTTCCTCGCTTCACATTGCTCTCCCTTAGAGAGCTGCTGCCTTTTTTTGAGTCACATAGCGTAGTAGTTAGGCTTTGTGAGTTTCCAAGACCCAACATGGAGCTTGAACCTTCACCTTCTAACTCAGAGACACGAGTGATAGCGTGCTTTGCATTTGATATAGCGACATGTTGTCATTGAGACGTCTCATAGTCTTCATAGGATATAATAATCCTCTTATTTGATATAGCGGCTTATCACATCATTGAGATGTCTCAAAACGCTTCTCAGAATTCACTGTAAAGTGTAGTGACTGTGCGTTTTGTGGGTAAAACTGTACAGAGGATTGTCTGTATATTTTGTGGGCAAAATGTGGCAACCTGTTGCACACAGCAATGATCCACAGACAGCCGTGGATTGAGTGACCAATTTTATTTGGGGGATTATTGGCCAGGATACCAGGAGAAACTTAATTGTCTTTTCGAATAGTGCCAGGGGATCTTTAATATCCATCTGAAGAGGCAGACGGGACCTCGGTTTAAGATTTCAGTCATAGGATTAAGACTGTGTTAATATTGAGCTGGGATGAGACTTCGAAGTCATTATCTTCCTTCCACTCTCCCACAGGACTGAGATAAGAGTGCTGGATGGATGTCCTTGTAAGATCATGCATCAGAACTTTTTTTTTCTGGAGCCATGAAATGCCTGGCCTATATATTGTCCTTTTGAGATACATGAGGCGAAATGACTGCCCTTAAACTCTCGAGACCAGAATTTGGATCCAAACCAAAGGTATGTAGAGGACAAATATATACTGTATACAAAAATAGCTAACGTGAAGTTCACAACAAATTCAGTTTAAATTATTGAGCGTCCACAATGGTAGACTTGACTACCCCTGGTTTCAAGACTGGTCTGACTTTGGCATGGAATGCAGAAGGTTTTTTTTTATTTCTCTCCAGGGAAATGGGGGTGGCTGAGGTGGAGGGGTTGTGGGGGGAGATGTGTTTGAAGGGTTGAGATGCAGAAGTAACAGTGCTGAGAGTGAAGAGAGAGACATCAGGTTGGAGGAGAGCATGGAACCTCGGTTTAACTTCTCTTCTGAAGGACGACACCTCTGACTACGCAGCATATCCGCAGCACAGTATTGGAGTGTCACCTTAGACTTGTGAGTTTAAACAACAACAAAATTACATTTGTATAGCGCCTTTCACATCAGGAAGACGTTCCAAGTCCCAAATAAATAGTCATAATGATCATAATCCTTGCATTTTTTGTAGAGCCTTATGTCATTGAGACTGAAAGCTCTTCAAAAGTGTATTTTGTGGGTGAAACACAGCAGCCACTTAAGCACAGCAGCATCACAAACAGTCGCGGATGAATTGAGTGAACAAATTCTTATTTTTTGGAGGGATTATTATCCCCGGAAAGTGATCCAGTAATTGCCCAAAATCGGGTTCCTACTTACTGCTGGGTAAACGGAAGCGTGTGGAGTAAAGAAGAACTGCATACCTTGTCATTTGATATTGCTGTCCGGCAAGCTTTCCCACTGCTTGTCCAGCTAGGACCACCCCATCCGTTAGGGCTTTCGCTTGCAGGATCAACAGCAACTAAGTGGATTGACTTCTGCTCCCAGTGACTGGTTTGTCCTTCCAGGTGCTGTCAATGAGCCAGGTTAATAATAATAATATAATAATAATCCTTGCATTTGATATAGCGCTTTTCACGTCGGGAGGACGTCCCAAAGCGCTTCACAGAACACACTGTAAAGTGAATTGACTGTATATTTGTGGGCGAACGCGGCAGCCAATTGCGCACA